AAGTTCAGTGACGCAGGTAGTGACGATTCTCTGCGGACAATCCGTGATCAGCATAGTTTACACGTCATGTTTTGGTAACGGTAAGGTTCACTTGGAACCTCAACCGAGGTGGTACTGAAAAAAGTACCAGGTACCAGGTACTGTACCCAATGGAAAACCCCCCAAAAGTGAACCGTACCGAGCCGTACCGTGCCGTACCATGCAGTGGAAAAGCGCCATTAGATTCACATAGGGTGGTGAAATAATCCTTTAAAATAATGAATGGTTCTTGTCGCCGATTACGTTTCCCTCCAGTGGGCACAGTTCTCAGAGTAATATAACTCGTTGCACTCTACTTTTGTGTCCTTAAACGCTCATTTTTTGGGGGTCAACAGCTTATAAAACGTAGTTCTGTGTTTTTTAGCTTGTTTACTCTACCCTTGTCACATAGCAGCTTTTAGGCATTGCTCTGTTTTTTGTTATAAGTCAGAAATGCCAAGGAGGCAGCTTCCGGCAATACAAAGTCAATGGAAAGCGTTGGATTGTCCCCCCCCCCCCCCCCCCCGGGACACGTGTCGCTCTGTCTCTATTAACAGTGCCACTTACTTAATTCCTGAATGAATTACCCGTTTGAATGAATCGAATTAATCAATGAATGACTATTTTATTTACTGCCACCTGGTGGCAGATTTAGTTTCTTTTTAAGAGTATAATTTCATTTAAAAGAAAAATAATAAAAATAAAGACATTAAAAGGATAGTTCACCCAAAAAATTTTTATTCTGTCATTTAGGGTGTATTCACACCAGGAAAGTCCACTAGTTCACTTGCTTTGGTCCGGACCAAATACAATGTTGATTTTTTTTGTTTAGTGCGGTTCACTTTCACACTGCTCTTTTTGCAAGTGAACCAGAAATTGTAAACAAAACAACACGTGTGCTAAGGTTATCTATTCATTGGTTCATCCATTCAATCATACCAGAGTTCGCTTGGAAGCGGACCGAGACCACCTCTTCAGCTGTGTCTCGGTACGGTTGTTTGTTCCGCACCTGAGTGCGATTGCTGTATTCACACCTGCCCAAAAGATCCGCACCAAGAGGGGAACCGAACTTGAGTTTGATTCAATCGAACCAAACAAGACAGGTGTGAATACACCCTTACTAACCCTCTCATTTCAAACCTTTCTTTTGTGGAACACAAAAGAAGGTATTTTGAAGACTGTTGGTAACAAAGCTGTTTTGGTTACCAATGACTTTCATTGTAAAAAAAAATACTGAGATGTTTCTCAAATTATCTTCTTTTATGTTCCAAAGTTTATGTTAAGCCGTTGTAGATTTTTTTAAATTTTATGTTAAATCAAATCAAATATTTCTTTCTAAAGCTACAATTTGTAATGTCTACTTGATATTTTCTAATTTAACACAAAAATAGCTTTAAATATTCTTTTGTGTATATTTTCACAGTAAAATTTATTTTGCAATTAATTTGATTAATTGACACATCATGTAATTAATTAGATTACAAATTTTAATCAACTGACAGCCCTAGTACATATACAAATTCTTATTCTCAGTTACTAAATATTAAAAAAGAAAATATGAAAAATGACTGCACAACCACCAACTAGGTGGATATATGCACCTCTGAGTTGACTGAACTTACTCCCAGACACGTTTTGGGAACCAGTATACCTCAAGTAAGCAAGGTTTGGGTTAATCAACCAAGAGTTCAGGGTATATGTGACGGTAAGCTGACCTTGCTTTCTGGAATACACCCCTGCAGAGTGAAATGTGTTTTGACTGGAAATAGCATCTTCCACACATTCCATGACCAATCGGATTTAAGAATTAGCATAATTTTTATGTAACAACATTAAAATATCATGAAGAATTCTATGGTTTCACCATGACACATGTCCAAAAAAATATGGTAATATCATAGTAAACCATAATATTTTTCGTAGTAAATTCAGAGTTAAATAAAAATCTATACAATAATGCCATAGTCACCTTTCTACAGCAACAAGTTAAAAAACTTCACAATGAATAAACATTGAACTCTGCAGTTTAACTCTCATTTGAGTAAAATTCTAAGTTAGGCAAAACTAAGTTAAACTATTTTGGCGAATCAATTGATAGAGTAGAATCTATTATAATGTCACTCACTCTTGCACGATTTGCCATCGTTGCCCAGGCTAAAGCCAGACCGACAGCGACACGTCCGGCTCTTGTGGCTGTTGCCCAACAGACAGATGTCTGAACAACCTCCAGCTTTTCCAAACTGATCTGGCTCACAGGCGTGACTCCGCACTGAAGAAGAAGAACAGGAGAGTTAGACTGAGCTGGAGCTACACTGCAGTGTAATGGTTGCATTTTAAACAGTTTATTCAAGTATACTACTGTATACTAGTTCAGTCTATGTATTCAACAGCATTAGATAAGAAACATTAATACCAGGGGGTTGGCGTCTCTGGTGGTAAACATGTAGAGCTCCTCCCTTGTCGACACGGGTGACCACCTGATAATCTGAACTGTTGAATCGATTGACGCGGATCACGCTGGTCTTAGGCTGCATGTTGGCATTGTCGGAGTTTGTGGCATATAGATAGTTCTCAAACACTGTGAGCCCATAAAGATGCTCAATCTGAGAAAAAAAATCATTATTCAATTAGTCATATTATTAAGTTGTGTTTGCTTTGCTGGCTTGAGTGAGCAAGACACGCACATAAACACACCAATTAGCCTTGGGCTGAGCAGCTAAATGATAGCAATAACTCAAGCAGAGAAGAAGGAATCAGGCTAATGCATTGACAGAAACAGCTTTAACACCAGTCTCTTTCACCTACTAAAGCATTTTTCACAGTACATATAGCTATCCAATATAAGTGACTCTCTCAACACAATGAGGTATGATGAATGGATGGATGGGTGGATGGGTGGATGGATGGATGGATGAATGGACAGATGGGTGGACAAATGAATAGATGGATGGGGGACAGATGGGAGGACAGATGGGTGGACAGATTACTGAACATATCTTAAGGTGGATGATGGATGACGGACATTAGGATGGATGGACATTTGGACTGGATGGATGGATGGCGCTTTAACACCAGTCTCTTTCACCTACTAAAGCATTTTTCACAGTACATATAGCTATCCAATATAAGTGACTCTCTCAACACAATGAGGTATGATGAATGGATGGATGGGTGGATGGATGGATGGATGAATGGACAGATGGGTGGACAAATTAATAGATGGATGGGGGACAGATGGGAGGACAGATGGGTGGACAGATTACTGAACAGATCTTAAGGTGGATGATGGATGACGGACATTAGGATGGATGGACATTTGGACTGGATGGATGGATGGAGAGATGGAGAGATGGACTTTTGAACTGATGGACGTTAGCATGGATGAATGGATGACGGGCAAATTTTGGATGGATGGACAGATGGATGGACAAATGAATAGACTGACAGATAACTGAACAACAGGTGGATTTTAAGGTGGATGATGGACATTAGGATGGATGGATGGACGGATGGAAAAATGAATAGATGGTCAGATGAATTAACAGGTAGATGTTTGGATGGATGGAATGATGGATGGATATTTAGAAGGACAATTCAGATTACTGAACAGATAGACGTTTAAAGGGGTCATATGATGCGATTTCAAGTTTTTACCAGCTTCATCACTGTGTCTGTCGCGCGACTCTGTTCCCCTTTCGGGCTCTGTCTTTACATTTATTTTGAAACATGAAGCTCGCGATTATGGTAAGGGGCGTTACATTTCCGACGAGTGCTTGCGGTGTTCGGCCAATCGCAATGCACTGGGTTAGCTGGCCAATGAGAGCAGACTGCGCTTGTCGGAAGGAGGGACTTTGTAGAAAACAAAGCGTTTGAGAGAGGCGGGGCATAGAGGACCTACAATAATGTACAGTATTTGAAAATGTTTGTGTTTTTTGAACATTAAAGCATGTCAACATATTCTATTACACCAAATACACAAAATAATGATCTTTAAAAAAGCATAATATGACCCCTTTAAGTAGATAATGGGCAGATGGATGAATTGACGAATGGATGGATGGTAAATGAATTAATGAATGGAAATTTGGACACATGTCTGAAGAGAGTATGAAGAGACTGACATTTGGACTGAAGTGCAATAGGATGAATGTGTGGACAGATGTTTGGATGAATGAGTGGCAAATGTTTGGATGGATAGCACTGCATTTTTCTTTATTTTACAGAATTCTGTGCAACATCTGTTGCTTTTAAATGTGCTTTATAAATAAACATTAAATAGATGAGTAGATTAACAGGTGGATGAATAGAATAGATGGATCATAGAGATAAATTCAATTTTCAATTCAATTCAAGTGTATTTGTATAGCGCTTTTATGATACAAATCGTTGCAAAGCAGCTTTACAGAAAATTTAAGTTTCTATTTTAAATGTTCTACATAAATGTTTGGGATAAATGCATGGGATCTTTATCTGTTGACTTGAACTTTTGAGAAATATAAAATCATGTTCATGCTATCTACAAAATAATGTTTCACGATTTCACACTTACATATAATAAACAAAGTAAAGGTTATGCGTATTTGGCGTGCTGTCCGAGGGGAGGACTCTGATCTTGGAATTTTGGCCCAAACCCAGAGTACTTAAGATAGGAATAGTTGTAAGTGTGGAAATGGGGTGGTGGAGGGATGCTGAAAAACTGTCAAGGAACTGAGGTAAGTCTGCTGTGTATATATACAGCTCTTACCTTGTGAATTGTGCTCCTCTTGTATTAATTAGGTTAATTATCTGAACGTGCCCCTCCCGAACTTTGTTAAAGGGGTCATATGATGCTATTTAAATTTTTTCTTTCTCTTTGGAGTGTTACAAGCTCTTGGTGCATAAAGAAGATCTGTAAAGTTGCAAAGACTAAAGTCTCAAAATCCAAAGAGATATTCTTTATAGAAGTTAAGAGTCAGCCAGACCTACCTAAAACGGCTCATTCTAACACGCCCCCACATATCTACATCACTATGTGGGAAGATTTGCATAACGCCGCCCAAATGTTCACGCAAAGAAAGAAGGCGTAACTTTTATTCAGGCTGTAGTATTGTTGCTGCCGCCATTTTTGTGAATGCGCTGTGTGATTCGTTGTGAAAGCGAAACTACTTTGTTTGGCCTTCCAAAAGAGGACGATATCTGCTTTCGTCATGCCTGGAGCATAGGCCACCGTGTGTGACGCTTTGTTTCGTTGTGAAAGTAAAACTACTTTGTTTGGCCTTCCAAAAATGGACACGACTAGAAATCAGTGGTTAAGTTGTATTTACAACACTGTTCCAGAACACTTCAACCCAAATATTCAGATGTGTGCAGCACATTTTATGGAGGACTGTTTCCTGATCCTGGGAGAGTAGACTACAATGCCGGCTGTTCTGACTCAAAGACTGTAAGTACGTTTTTTATATTTAAAGAGTTTTTATATTTTATATATTTAAAGCAAGTGTTTTGGGCAGTGTAGAGTAGGGCTTGTTGTTTGTCATTTCTCCGATCACAAATGCAGACATGGTTTTGTTTACACGGCGCGATGCAACGCAACGCGTAAAAAGACAGTACAAGTCATTATAATACATAATTATGTCCCCACTGGATGCAACGAATGCCTCGTTTATAATGGGTTTTCATGTTTTTGAATCATCGCTCCGGCCTGACAGGGCATCATCACAATGTGATAAGGGAGTTAACATTTCTGTCACACGCTTCAGGTATTTGGCCAATCACAACGCACTGGATCGCTGGCCAATCACAGCACACCTCGCTTTTTCAGACCGATGAGCTTTGTAAAAATCGACGCGTTTCAGAAAGGCGGGGCATAGAGGAGAACAATAATGTACAGTATGTGGAAAATAATGTGTTTTTTTAACCTTAAACCGCATAAACACATTTCATTACACCAAATACACAACATAATGTTCTTTTTAGCAACATCATATGACCCCTTTAATAAAACATAATTTGTAGAGCAGTAATAAAGGGAAGTTGACCATTGTTAACTCACTTTCTGTTAAATGCTTCAAAACAATGAGGAAATTAGTTCTTGAGCAAAACACATTCTTGCACAATAATGTGTTATACTTTTTTTTCAACTTATAAGAGTCACCTTTTAGGACATGTCAGGATATTTAAGGACATCTTAAAATGATCTTGGTATTTGCTCCTTACCAACAGTCCTTGAATGATGGTGTGTCTGTTTTTGCCCTCATAGTCCACTACCTCGATGTAGTCAAGATAAGCATCAGCCCAGTAGACCAATCTGCTGACCAAGTCCAGGGTGATACCATGCGGGAAGACAATTTTACTGTCCACCAACTTTGTTCGGTTCTGTCCATCCATGTCACAACGTTCCACCTTTGGGATCTGCCCGTAGTCAGTGAAGAAAACCTTTCTGTTGAAGGTAAAGTTGAGGAAGGTTATACCCGAGTAAACCTGATTTGAACCATTTGACCATTTAGCAAATACTACAAATATTCAGCTAGCTAGTTGTATACATGAAGTGTGAGTTTGAACATGCTCATACCCCATAGTTGGGTCCAGAGCAATGCCTTTAGGGTTGTAGAGTTCTTGATCCAACAGTGTTACACATGTGGCTCCATCTTTATCACATACAAAGATTCGATCATCCACGTCATCAACAAAGTAGAAGTTTCCTGTGAGCCAGTCTATTGCCATCTGTTCTACATCTGTAAGGAACAAGGAATGGGGAGAAATGTAGGTAAAACAAAGAAATTATGTGTTTTGTGTTCATGTGTAATATACCGTTTTGCTTATTGTGAGTAAAATCTCTATTGAATACTATAAATTTAACATACAGTCCAGTCCAAATAAGTATCTCAGTTTAAATTGTGAGGACTAATTTGAAATTATTCTAAAATAAGACTGTAAACTATTTAGCATTTGCAGAACAAACAAAGAACATTTCCAACACCTGCATTCAATTTAAAACATTAAAATAAATTTGCCTTATGATTTGTCACAAGATACGAGACTAGCTCACTTGAGTCCGAGTCAAGATTGAGTCCACAGGCAAAAATCAAAAACTTTGATGACTCTGTGAATCTGTTTTAAAATAGTGCTAATAATAATACAGTGGTCTCGCATACACATTTCTCTTTTTCACTTCTACAATGCCGCTCTTTCTATTTGAAATAGCTGAGTCAGGGGACTCTGTGGAAGCATGTGCGCATGTTACACAATTTCCAAAAGAGTTGACAGCTTAGTCAGTTGACAGTTTAACAGCTGTGATTGCTGTGGCTAACCATGGGTTTTTGCTCTTTTGCAGCTTCCCACCTCCTCAATACACCCCATTCTGACCTTAAAATGTCAAAAGTCTCAATGTATCTGAACCTCCCCAACTTTAACCCCAGACATACCATATCTTTTAATGGGATGTTGCTCATTTGAACATTGAGTGGCCGTAAAAACATGGCACAGGAAGATATAGAATCAGTGACTGTTGGGTAAAATGGTGCGGGAGATGCAGGAAAATCCAGACAGATGGAGCGATTGAAGGCTGAGGGGTGGAGACAGAGACAGTGTTGGCCTCTACAAAGGAAAATTGGCCATTGTGCAACAGCCAGACGTTTACCGGAATCAAGGGCTGTATCCCCAAAGGTGTTGTTTATTTAAGAGCCGAGTCCTGCTTAAACATTTCCAGCTGCCTGGACTGAAAGCCAGTGATTAAAAACACAGATCAAAAACGCCAAAAGTAGGGGAAAAGAGCAAGCGTACAAATCAAGGTTGAGGAAGACGAATGGTTCTTAGAGCAGCTGCTGTCTGAACAATGCAAGAATAGAGGAACGCCACAGAGACAAACCACAGAAACAGTGGGCTGAGGAACCTGGCTTCGCTCTCATTGTAATTCCAAGTAAAATTGTAGGTCTCAGTGGAAGGAGGGTAAGAAATTCCATTTGTGACACAACCTTCCCTTTACACTGAAGGAAAACAAACGCTCTTATGACTCTAGCTCTCATTTCTTGAGACAGCTTCATATGAAAATACTTTGAGGCTAACAAACTAAAGTCTGTTTACATCTTGAACCTTTATTTTATTAGTAGTGGAGTTTGTTTAAAGCTGCGATCTGCAGACAGCGTGCCATTTCAAGAATGAGTTCTGGAGTTCAAAACGAAGGCCATCTGATGATATGACAAGTGATCTGGCATCTGTCCTGGTAAAGGCACAACATCCCAACAAATACAAAACAACTCTGTGACTGTTTCAAGGTAGGTAACAACCAAGGAGAAGAAACAGTACAAATGGCAAGCATTGTTATCTTTCCTTTTTTCTCATGTTTCTATGGTTGTACAATCAAATTTTAACACACGTGATGTTTATTTTGTCTGGTACAAACTGTTCACTGAAGACATTAAGCAATTAAAATTCATTGTACCAAAATTTGCATAAAAAGCATTAATAGCACTTCAATTCTTCAAGTTAGGCTGGATTGCATCCAATAGATGAACTTGTGTCAGACTGCACACCAATGTATCAAATGATCTGATGTCAAACTCCAAAAGCCTCACAGTGTCACAACTACCTAAATTTGGTGGAATATTTGGAACACTATAAAGACCAAATATGAGTCCTCGGAGCTCAGAGATTTGGGCAATAAAGGGTGGAAGACTTTATATTAGAGATAAACACCAATAAAGCAAGAGGCAAGTCAATAAATAAACATACATCTGAAAAGCTATCAAGACAGAGCACAGATAGCTAGAGAAAAAGGGTGAGGGTTCGATAAAGAGAGATTAATACCAAAACAATGCCCTGAATGTTGGCAGAGCCAAAAACGTGTGGCAGAAGCCCTGGAGCGTGAGCCGATTCAAGCACATGACTGTTTAAGAGGCTTTCCGGAAACTTCTGTACCAAGCAGACCTTATGTCAGAGAGCCGCTCCCTTCTGCTTTATCCCACATTACTTCATCGCACATCCTGTCTTTCCGCTATTTATGCTGAGACACACCAAATTTACATGCAAGAAATAACTTTACTGGAATGCCTCAACTCAATAACACTGACATTTCTGACAAAAACACTTGTACATGACATTTTGGTTCACGTCACCTCGTCATTTTCCAAGATGCTAAGAGACACATGCATTTCTTTACGAGATCCCATAGTGATGACGAAAAGATCGCAGAGCGAGATGGTCTAAACATCTCCACCTGTACGTGTCAGTTTTCATGTTTTCATGATAAAACTCCAGAGCCGCAGACGGATGGGGGGGTTGGGTCGCCTCATGCCGACCACAGTGTCTGGAAAATGTTCCACAAAACAGAATATAAATATGCTGCAGCAAACCCCAGCAACCTACACAAACCACTCATAAAACACACACATAAACACAGAGACATATGGCCATACGGATAATGGCTTCCGGAAGAGTGCATGCCGTATCTCACAGGCTCAACTCAAACCATACCAGCAGATTCAGGCCACATATATGAGCAGATGTGTGTGAGAGTGATTCAGAAAGTCAAGTAAACTCCTTTGAGTGGAACAAGCAGTCACTTTCCACAAATACAGTACACTTCGCTGTCCCACGATTTCTTTTAATGTACAAATTCAATTTTTAACCCTTTTAGATATGGTTTGATAAATTATTATTTAACATAATAATATTTACTTTTTACTTAGCATAAAATGAGCTAGTTGCATCAAATGTCTGTACTTACAGTATCGTATTAAAATGGAGATTTTGACCTGACCCTCAAGGTACACTCTAAAAAAAACTATAAAAATAGGGCTTATATAATTTGAAGGATTCTTATTCTGTATTTATTGTTTTACAGGTGTTTTACCAGTATTTTGAATTTTACACTGCACTGTGTTGTGTTTTAGAGTTAACAGAAATGTCTGTAAAATTAATGGATAATGTTAATGGACATATTTTTTACAGTGCACTGACCTCCTCAACTGTATTCATAATTATAATTTTTAACTTAATGTCTATAATTGTAGTAAAACAAAAAATTATAAAATAAAATAATCTTAATGATCAAAATTCTGTAATATATAAAATATCATGTTTATCATTTGGATATCATATTATTTGGAATATTTTGCATAAGACTGTTGTCTAATGATATTTTATTCACAATAAGAAAATTAATTTATTAAAATTGTGATAGCCAGGAAATAGCAGTATACACTTATTATTTAATATAAAGTCACTGAAATTTTATGACCATAATTTTTGTATGGTTTTTCAAAACCACAGCTGCCTTTTTTACAGTAAATTCAACAGGATTTTATTTACTTATTTACAGTGTATAGAAAGCAAATAATCTCATTCCATTTTCTCAATTTTTACAAATACTATAGTTCCCTTTCTGTCGTTCACTCCGACGTTGTGTCGAGTGTACGACACTAGAGGTCGCTCTTGGGAGCCCAAACACCACATCTTTGAGAAAAGGCCAATGAAATTGGGTGTGCAGAATTTGCATAGCTGGCCACGCCCCAGACATCCAGCTATAAATAGGCCAGCATGGCATCTGCTCACTCTTTCTGTTTTTCGCAGCCAAATGCAGTGTCTCTCACTGAGAAGTTGCGATCATTCACCTCTTGATTCCTCGTCGTTGGATCTAAGGCAAGGTCAGTGGTCTCTCCCTACTCATACACAGATAGGTGTTGAGAGAGTACCCCTGAGTACTTCAATGGCGATCTCTAAAAGAGATCGAGGCGTTGAATGAACTGCACGAGGGTGGTCCCAACCCAGAGGTACTGCAGGAACTGCTCTCAGTGACTGACTATGCCCTCCGGGCTACGAAGGTCATGGCGCAGGCTCTGGGGAGGGCAATGTCCACTTTAGTGGTCCAGGAACGCCACTTGTGGCTCAACTTGGCTGAGATGCGGGAAGCCGAGAAAGTACGCTTTCTTGATGCCCCCATTTCACAGGTTGGTCTCTTTTGCGACACCGTGGAAGAATTTGCCCAACAGTTCTCCACGGTGAAAAAGCAGACGGAGGTCATCAAACACATCCTGCCTCAGCGTGGGTCAGGTCCTGCTCCTGCACCCCCGAATCAGCAGCCCCTGTCTGCTCGTCGCTGGGGACGGCCCCCTGCAAGGACTGCTGAGGCCCCGCAACAGCCTGGGCCTTCAGTCAAGCCTGACCAACAGCCCACCACTCGCAGGAAGGTGGCACCACCAACTCGTCATCAGGGCACCAGGAACCCTCGCAAGGCTTCAAAGCGTTCCTGAGATGGGCGACCCAGGGAGGAGGGACCATCTGGCCAGCCTGGATCCACTTCCGACGGGGGGACAGAAGGTGGATTCGGCTCCACCACGGCTGTCTGCCACCTGGCAGATAGCCACCACCTGGTCAATAAAAGAGCAATTTCCTTTTTCTCTGAGTCACACACACAGCGTTTTTGGCCATCCCATTTGCGACGGTCAGACACTGAAACCATGCATCAGAACCTGTTTGGACACAGACACTGTCTCCTCACGTTCAGATGCAAAGGGTCTATCACTCAGCCAACACGACGCATGCTGGTGAACTCATGTTCTCCCATCCGTTGGTGGCACATGTGACAGACCCTGCTGACAAGGCGCAGTGTGTTTTACAGGACGTTTCACCTCCTACCACAGCGCCTTCCACTCCGCTCAGCCACAGGAACCCTGCCCGAGGTACGTCGAACATGGTTCCTTTGAGACCATTGGCAGGGTATCTGGATGCTTGGTTA